ATAGGGAATCAAGGAGGGAAAAAAAAAAAAAAAAAGGCAAAATATACAGGACATAAGAAATGGAAAATTATTTGTTGATAACATATGTTGATGTGCTTGATTGAGCCAATATACAGTGTATTCTGGATGGAAAATTCATTTTGTATGTTGTAATGATGTATAGTGAATTAATGTAAAAAAATAAATTTAAAGAAAAGAAAAATAAATAAATATCAATTATTTTAAAATTTTGTGTTTTTTATGAAAATAGACAAAAATAATTTTCATGGCCTTTTTGAAATTCCATGATTTTTTTTTTTTATGATCAGTTATTTAATTAGGTTCTTGGCGAAAAAATCTAGAACACCAATTTGTGAGGGCAAACACTGATCGCAGGTAGCCCTGGAGCTGAGGAACAGCTTTGATTTTTGGCAAAATTTGCAAATCCACAGCTTTCTGATCAATCTTGCGCTACTCTGAAATCTCGAATTTCTTCTCTGTGTCGAAGATCTCACCTTCCTGGTGTCTGGGCTTCCGCAGTTTCTTTTTCTTGAAGTAAGCATCGGTAAGGTGCTTTGGGATTTTTACTTTGCTAATATCAATTTTCGTGGAGGTGGCAATGACAAATTTCTGGTGTGTTCTACGCAGTGGAACTCGATTGAGAACCAGCAGTCCAGTTACAAGTAGCAAGCCACTGCTCAACTGCTTCAGGAAAACCACTCTCTTGCCTCTGTGGCGTCCAGTGAGGATGATCAGAATGGTCCCAGGAATGATGCTAGCTCACAGCTTTCTCACATGCTGACTGAAGGGTTTTTTGCCGTGGCTCAACAGCTTTCGAGGCACATCTTCAGTAGGATAATACCTAGGCATTTTGCGCAGTTTAACCACCTGGGTACCACCATTCTTGTCTCCACCAACCGGTTTTGTGACAGTCGCAAGAACCTTCTTCTTTTTCTTTTCGATCCTGGATTTAGTGGCCGAGTATTTCCTCTTGTACATGGCCTTCCTGGAATACATGGCAGACTGGGAGTATCTGCTGATGCTCCAGACTAGGACAGGGTTTCGGCTGCAATGGGGCTTCCCCTTCTTCAGCTTTTTAACCTTGGGTTCACCTTATTAACCTTGCCACTGGCATCAGCCTTCTTGGCTTCAGGTTTCTTCTCCTTAGTATCCTGCTTTGCAGCTTTATCGCCTGCCATGGTGTATAGTGGGAAAGAGCGAAATTCCATGATTTTTCTGAAGCATAAAGTATGAGGAGACTTCAAAATGATCATAGAAAAGTGCAATTAAAGTATATTTTGGCGCAAAAAAATTGGAATCCATGCATTATTTTCATAATTACATTTTTTTGAAGACCACCTCATTTACTTTCATAATTTTATTTTAATTCTAAATATGAGTTTGGAGCTAGTTTCAAGCATTTCTCTGCAAACAGCACACTTGAGAGGAACAAATTTTATTCTTTATACAGCATATGAGAATCTAGGTTATAATGAATCACTGTATTTTCTTCTTTTCACATATTTTTTAAAGAACTAGAGACATCTCCATGGTCTATGTGATGACTTTGGACAAAGGCAATTTACATACACTGAAGAGTATCTTGAATATAAAGAGTCATTTTCATTAATTTGTATTTCAACACTGATATATTTTCTGCTTCTCTATCTTTAATTAATGACCAGTTATGAGCATAAGCTAACTGATATGTGACTGAAAATATATTAAACTACAAAAGTTCAAAACCCCTTTGAAGCAGCAGTAGTATTTAGGTAAGTGACACCCCAGCTAAATGAGATGAGACCACATGACTGGGCCATCTGCACACCCACCAGCCTCTACTAAGGTGTAAATATGAATGCAAGATCCACTCCAAGGGTTTCCACCAATTCCATTTCCATGGAAAATAAATATATATTCAAAAAAGAAAATGACAAAGATGCTCTCATTGCCTTTTAAAATACTCTCTAACTACACTGAGATAGAATCTCTGTCTGTGAAACACAGCCCCTTCTGGTTTACTGTCTGTGGCCAACAGCCCAGCTCACACTAAATGAGGTCCATTCCCTGACAACCAGACTGTCTTCACATACCACCTCACAGTAGTCTGTCTTCACATACCACCTCACAGTAGTCTCAATCTAGGATAGTGATGACACACAAAAGATTGTGACTGCTTCTGGTTGCCTTAGAAATCAACCCAAGGTATCCTAATGATACAGAAATAGCTGAAAGTCTGAAAGAGGACTAGAAACTTTAATGTCTGGAGAACTGTACTATGCAAAACAGAGAATGAGATTACAGCACTAGAGAGCAGTTTAGGAGAGCAGATGCTAAGAGGAAGAAAGTGAAAAGCAAAGATGTACATGAAGCTGGTAATTGATAAAGCAATGGCTGAAATGGAAGACACCCAAGAGAAACAGCATGAGGCTACAAGAAGCATGAATATGAACAAAGGTTCAGTGAGGAGAGGGTGTCATGGGGGACTGTTGAAAGACGAAGCAGTACAGGCCCCATTCTTACAGCCTCCTTTGGTGACAGACTCAGAATGGTTGGATCTGAGTGCAGAAGAGCAGTAGGTATTTTCTTTCTGGGTACAGACAGGGGAATGTTCATTTATCTGGGAACAAATGTAGCACAAGAATGAAAATTATGTGTTCTGGAATCACACAGGGACATATCCTGCCCCTGAAACTAACCCTGGACCTTTAACAAGGTCACTAAGCTTGAACTTGAAGCTTCACTAAGCTTCTCAATACCCCAGTTCTCTTTGCCATGAAGTAGAGGATAATGAATATCTACCTCATAGGCTGTTTGGAAGATTAAGTAAAATAATTTGTTTAGGTTTGTAGCACAGTGCTTAGTGTATAGTAAACTCAATAAATGTTGCTATGGAAACTATACAAGAACCTATTAGAAAAAAATGAGTCTGTTTAAGAAATTAGATTTACTTAAAAGACAAATAAATACTTTTGTTTTCCAATTCTATGTTATAAAATGATACTTTTCTGTAGCTAAGAAAAGCCAGAGGTAGCAGAATATTTGAACCTACTTGCTAACTAATAGGTTAAAAAGTAAAAGATCTCCCTGAAGCCTAAATGTGACTGCTCTCTTACATGACAGATTTCTCTGTTATCATTTTCTACATTCAAGTTTTTTTAAACTTTGTCATCAAGTTATTTTATTATCTATTTAAAATGTCAACCTTTGATAAGAATCATGAAACACAGATAGCCATTGTTGGAAATAACAGTTTATAGATTATATTTATTGCTGACCATTGCATTTTAAATGGACTTACCAACTTTGCAAACATTTCTTATCAAAGCTAAGTTTTGTTATATCAACAATATACAAAAACATTGGTTTGTAGTATTTGAAATAGCAACTTGGTCTTTGTTCTCTATTGTTAAAGGTGCTTCTGACCATCTCAATCTCAAACACAATGTGGCTCTTTGTTTATACTTTTATCAGAGTACACTCTTTTGCTTTCGAGGAAAACAGCATGAGCATGTCCTAAGAGTTTTGTCTGCTGGCAGAGAACTGTCTTCTGCTACATGTGGACAAGGGGTCCCAAATCAACTCGTTAGTACAATTCATATCACAGCATGTTTCCTGAAACCTTTTCTACCAGTCCTAGTATAATTTCTTTTTTTGATCTTATAGATTAGCCTGGGCCAAAAATATTCAAGACCCTCGGATTGCAGTAGGTTCTTGTTCCCCACTAGAAAAGAAGATTAAGGTGAGGAAAAATATATTTGCTATGAAATTCAAAACTGATAATAGACCATAAAAAGTTTATCGCTGGTGTAAAAGGTGGCTGACTGTTTCATGGGAAAGTTATTTGCCTATTATGTTTAGTTTGGCATTTGGTTCATTGAGTACCAGCGGTGCTGGCTGGACAAGCATTGAACAAAATAAACATTTCCCGAGCCTCCATAGAATTTAGTCTAGTGAGAGGTACTGACATTACACAAACAGTTATTACAAAATTAATGTGATTAAATATTATGAAAGAGTATGTGGAATCTCTGAGGAAGTGATATTGAAGTTGAAACCTAGAAACTGTACAGATAAGTACCACAGTGAGAGCTGTTATCATATGTATTTGGGAGTAGATGAGGGAAGAGCATGTGAAAACACACAAATGGGAAAGAGAATACAATTTTTGAAAAACATAAGTCAGTGTAGTTGGAGCAGTATGAGCAACTAGTCAAGCTGGCAGTTATTTGGAGAATTAATCAGAAGCCAGATGAAGGATACAGTGCTAGATTTTGAGATTTTCTCCTAAGGGCAATAGGATACCATCCCAGGGTTTATGCAGGAGAGTACAATAACACATTTAGATCAATGTAATGAAAAGATTACTTTGGCTGCAATGACTGATCTGGTGGGTGTGTAGGGCAGAGGGAAAGAGGATGGATTTGGGTAAACTATTTAGACTACTACCCTGGGGTAGGCGCAGTGGGTTGAAATGAAAATATGATGAATATTTTGAAATTTTAAGTGGCAACACTGAAATAGAGAAATTAAAGAAAAACACTTTGGAGGATGAGGCAAGTGGAAATATCAACTAGATAGTGTCTAAGTCTCAAGTTGGGAGGCAAAAGCAGGGTAGCCAGGGTACCTTGTCTGTCTCATATACCCCTATTCCCCTCTTAGAGCACTGCCTGACACATGGAAGTTCACCTTGTTGAATGATTGTTACTGTCCATATCCAAGGAAACCTAAATGTGACTGCTCTATCTTAAGTGACTGTTTTCTCTGCTATATTTTTCTGCATTACATTTAAAAGACAGCAAAACAGATGGAGAAAGAGTGGCCATGAAATAGGAAGAAAATTAGGAGGGATATTGAGCAAATAACTGGACTAATCGGGATGTTGGGGGACAGTCAAAGATAACCATAATTGTATACCCTTGGCATAGCCTGGAAGCTAGAAGAAAATGTTTCAAGGAGAGAGTGGTCACCTCTTAAAAGCCGTTGAGAGGTCAAGTATAATAAGGAACAAACATGGGATCACTAATTTTTCTGTGTGGAAACTACTTGTGACAAAATAGACAAAAATAGTCTGAGAAGTCGGGGGAAGGAGGGTGGTTGGAAACAAGTGGCTAGTGCAAGTAATGTGAGAATTTGGAGCAGCATCATGGGTAAACTAGTCAAGTTATACTTTGAAGGGGAGCGGAAAAGAGAGGTAAAAAGAGATGTACAGAAGACTTTTCCATCTTTGTTTTAAAATTATCTTTTTTTCTTAGAGATTTTTTTTTCTATAGGGCATGCACAATCAACAGGGAGAGACAGAAAGCAAGAAATCACCTCCTGAGGGTGGGGGGGGAGCCACACCACAATCCCTTCTCCTCCTTTCTCATCTCAGGATTTGGGGCACAGATGCACACATGCCTAGTGTTTCAAGCCTCTGGGTCCAGGGCTCGAACTGTAGTCGACCAATGTGGGAGTCCAGCAACATAACCATTACACTATCTGACGGTCCCTGTTTAAAAATTGTATATGCTTGGGACCAGCAGTTAGCATAATGGTTATGTCGCTGAACTCCCATGTAGTCGACCGCGGTTCAAGTCCCAGACCTGGTAGCTTAAACTCATGCTGGGTGCATGTGTGTATGTGCCCAAGATCCCAAGAGGAGAATGGAGGAGAAGGGATTACAGCGTGGCCATCCCCCCTGGGGGGTGACTTCTCGCTTTCTGTCTTTCTGGCAAGCGCACGTGGCCTATAGCAAAAACCTCTTTAAAAAATTGTATATGCCAAAGTGTATTTTTGTGGTGATGGGACTGATTCAGTAGAAATTTTGAGAAAAGGAATTTGATAACTACAAAACTGAAATTCTTGAAGATCAAGAAACGCAGGTTTTTAATAGGCAAAGGGGTAGTGAGGTAGTGTTTCCACTATAAAAACAGAAAAGCAGAGTCCAGGATAGATCTGAGGTGGTGGTTCTGGCAGTGGAAAGAGGAGTGACTTTTGTTTTCTCAAAGAAGTCCAAGACAAAGTCTTCAACAAGGAGAGAACACTGGGGGATGGTAGTATAGGAGGTCTGAAAAGGAAGACAAGAAACACGGTTAAGAGACCCTAACTGGAACATGATATAGTTGTGCCAGATAGGGCTAATGAGCCCATGTGTGATCTGAACCATGGGACTAGAATAAAGACATCCAACTTAAGAAAGTTCTAATATTTCCCTTTCATAAGAGTTTAGGTGGTGTCCAGTCTTCAGAAGTGAGGAAACTATTAGTCCAGAGGTTTCAACAGGAGAATAAAACACTTCATAAGCTTAAGGCTATGTCTTTTGACTTCTGGTTTGCTAAAGTAGAGGCACATTACTACCGACAATATCAAGAAATGATAAAGGAAGAAGCATGGAGATACAAAATGGTTCCAAAATGGGAAATTAAAGTAGAGGAACAGGAAGAGAGAGCACATGGTGAAGAATCAGAAGTTGCTAAAAAATGGGACTACCTAGTGTCTGAGAGGGAATTGAATCATATAGAGAAACACATACACCGAGCTGAACGAGCTAGAGGCCTCAGAGACCACAAATACCGACTACTTTCACAGAGGATTCCAAGAGAAATACTTTTCCCCAAAATATTAACACTGGAGAAGGATGAAAAAAATGAAAATATCCAGAAAACACACAAAACTAAAACCAAGAAGTACAAGATGAAGTGGGCAAAGGAACAGATGAAGGGACATCAAGATCGAATGATTCGGGGGAGAGAACTCACAGAGCAAAGAAATGATCAGAAAGATTCTTGGAAACTATCTAGTCATGTTCCTCCTTTTCTAAAATCTCAAGTGGAGAAAGAGGAGGTGAAAGAATTTGAGTGGATTACAGCTTATCCAATTTTCCAGCCTTACCAGGAAGCACTAATAAAAGTGACTATTCTAGTGGAAAAATCAAAACAAGAAGATAAAATTAAGAAACCACTCAGAAGGGAACTCTTGAGTATGCCACCATTCTTGAGAAGTCAACTAGAAAAAAATAAAGTTTAAAATTATTGATTATTTTACACTAGAATATTTTTATATAGTCATTAGTATAGTAAAATTGTATGCCCCCTAATTTTGTTCCTAAATGCTTCAGACAGGCAAAGAAAAAAAGTTAAATCACAAGCACAGTATCCTCAGATACCTCATTTAGCTATATAATTACCTCAAACATTAGTGACTTTGCAACCCCCCCTTTTTTTTTATACTTGTGTATATGGCATGGGAGAGACAAAGACAGAAAGGGAGAGAGCAAGAAAGCACCCTCCAGGAGGGATGACCACACAGTCCCTTCTCCATTCTCTTCTTGGGATTTTGGGTGCACACACACACACGAGGCTGTGCCCAACATTTTCTCAAGACTGTGGGTCTGGGACTCAAACTGTACAGTCAGCCATGTCGGATCCAGCTGCCTTAACCATAACCATCTGTCTAGCCCCACAACCTCCATTCTTTATCTCACCATTCTGCCAGCAAATCAGGGAAGCTCAGCGGATCAATTATGCCCCACTTAGGCATCACCAGGGCTGCCTGACAAAGTTCAGGCAATGACTGGGCCAGTCTAGAGGTTCAAGATGGCTTCAATATATGCCTTTGGTCGGGAAGGATAGGAGGCCAGGCTCAGCTGGTCCACCTTTCTCCTTCCTCTCCATGTAGTTTCAGGGCCACACAGTAGTTGGATTTATTACACTGTGACTTAGGACTTTTAAGTATATATATTCCAAAAGGCCTCTTGGAAGCTAAGCTTCTTATGTCTTTAGCCTCAGAAGTTCCAGAACATCACTTCTGCTATATTTTGCTGGTCACCTAAGTCAGCAAGACCAGCTCAAATTCAAGGAGAGGGAAAGATTCTTCTCAAAAACATTTATAGCCATTTTTTAGTCTGCTTACTCCAAGACTCTCAAAAGTCTGTCACATAATTCTATCCTTGATTATACTTCTGTTCTTTTTACACAGTTCTTAAAACCAAACAAATATTTTTTTTAAAACCAACAATTTCACAGCTCCTGAATTGATCTTGACTAAAGAACCTGGTTCCTATTTGTCGGGGTATAGACAAGTGTATAAGCCTATTACAATTATTATACAGACAACATATTGTCTTATGCTCCAACTCACCCACAGTAAAATGGGTTATTATATCCTTAAGCCTAAACCCAATCCTTCCAGAGATCTATGTCTCCAGAATGGAGCCTTTCTGTACCTCAGTGGGTTTACAATCTATATGCAGAAGACAGCATTAGAAGAAATAAAACAAAATAGCACATAGCTGATTATGTAGTATACAAAGTTTGATTAAGAATATTGACTAGAGGGAACCAGCAGTTAGCCTAATGGCTATGACGCTGTACTCCCACGTAGTCGACTGTGGTTCACGTCCCGGACCCGGTGGCTTAAAACTCACGCCAGGCGCGTGTGCGTGCGTGCCCAAGATCCTGAGAGGAGAATGGAGAAGGGATTGCGGCGTGACCATCCCCCCTGGGGGGTGATTTCTCACTTTCTGTCTCTATGTCTCTCTCTGTCTGGCGAGCGCATGCGCCCTATAGCAAAAACCTCTCAAAAAAAAAAAAAAAAAAAGAATATTGACTAGAGAGTAGGGTAGCAATTTAAGGAGAACTTGAAGCCTAGAAATGTACCTTGTATGATAACCTAGGAAGACAGAACTGTTTTAAAATTAGATTATGGTGATGATTGTACAACCCCATGAATAGATTTAAAAACACTGAGTTGTGTACATTAAATGGGTGATTGTATGGTATAGGAATTATATCTGAATAAAACTAACTAAAAAAGGAAAGAAATGCTGGAGTTTATTTAGAGAGGAGGAAGTAAGCCTGGAAATGCTGACAAAAGGTCTGATCATGCCAGGCTTTGCCTGAAGAGTTTAGATTTTTAAATTTTGGAGGCAGTATAGGGAATCACTGAGAAATTGACAAGTGGTTTGAAGAAGTGAGAGAGATCTGAAGGATAGACAGGGAGTGGGAGACACCAGATAGCAGTCTGTGACAGTAACCTGGGCAAGATAGAATCAGAAAACCAGTAAGAATGTGACTAATTAGAGGTTATAGTGGGGGAAAAGAAAAGAATCTAAGATCTCTGTCTGAAGAAATACCATGGTAAAAGTTGCAGTATAGGGATTATAAGGAAAAAATTTGGGGGCTACTTTATACATACATGTGTCTTAACAGCTCGAATGCTGTCCAGTAAACCACAGATTACATATATCTGTATCTTTTTTCAAGATATTTAGACATCAAAGTTTTGAAACTGTTCAGGGTATAAATGTAGTATAAATCATAAGAATAAGAGAGTGAGAGGGAACTAGAAAAAGCAACAAACATCAGAGATGTTCACTGTCAAGGCATAAATATTCATGTGTCAAATAACAGGATCTCCTGGACTTGGAAAAGAATAGGTAAGTTTGGTATAAAACACACTCACTCAATAGACTAGTGGGAAAGGAGATGCCACACTGCCATGGTTTGAGGACTGACAGTATTTCTCATATAGGATAGCAGCTTGTGGAGGGTCTTTACGAACATGGTCTAAAGGAACCCATCAGAATGGGAAGAGAGGATGACTGATAGAGCAGAGTTTTACAGGAAGCAAGAACAGCTAGTATCTAGAGCCTTCCACAGAATAAATACCTCTACTCCTGACACCAGAGGAAAGGAATGAATAAGAATGAACATAGTAAGTTGGGGAATGGAGAAGGAACGAGCTTTGGCCCAGAAAATACCAAGGGCAGACTTGAAAGCCTGGCAGAGATCAGGAGCATGGAGTAAGAATGCTAGAAGGATGGATCCAGAGTGGGTATTGCTGGGGAAAGCAGTCCAGCCTGGCTTACCAGAGATTTTATTACTTTCTTATGTGTAAATAATAGGCTAGATCATTATGAAATTGCTGATATTTTATCTTTTTTTAACCTACAAAACAATTTCATATGGTATAATCCATCTGCTGATTTGACTAGCTACCTTTTCAGCCAAAGTGATACAAAAGGAACCATAGTTCCTCATAGTTCCTCTCCCATAATCGTAAAATAAAGAGCAACTACAATTATTTGTGAATATGGCAGTTAATTTCCTTTAATCAAAGACAACAATGACACATCCATTAACTATCAAAAGCTACATTTTGCTAAAAACAATTTTCTTGAAAAATGTTTAATCATACAATATATACAACACATGCTGCTTTCCTTTTTTGGATTTCACTATCCATTTGAGGTCTAAAAGAGAGAGGGAAAAAAGCTGGTTAACAGTTTGTAAATGATAAACTGAAAGTCAGTCTTTACATAAATGATACATTACAACTAACCTCTTAGTGAGTAGGATCCAGATAATCCCCATTTTATATCTTATGCCTACCCTTCTCTTTACTGATAGAGCAGAGTTTTACAGGAAGCAAGAACAGCTAGTATCTAGAGCCTTCCACAGAATAAATACCTCTACTCCTGACACCAGAGGAAAGGAATGAATAAGAATGAACATAGTAAGTTGGGGAATGGAGAAGGAACGAGCTTTGGCCCAGAAAATACCAAGGGCAGACTTGAAAGCCTGGCAGAGATCAGGAGCATGGAGTAAGAATGCTAGAAGGATGGATCCAGAGTGGGTATTGCTGGGGAAAGCAGTCCAGCCTGGCTTACCAGAGATTTTATTACTTTCTTATGTGTAAATAATAGGCTAGATCATTATGAAATTGCTGATATTTTATCTTTTTTTAACCTACAAAACAATTTCATATGGTATAATCCATCTGCTGATTTGACTAGCTACCTTTTCAGCCAAAGTGATACAAAAGGAACCATAGTTCCTCATAGTTCCTCTCCCATAATCGTAAAATAAAGAGCAACTACAATTATTTGTGAATATGGCAGTTAATTTCCTTTAATCAAAGACAACAATGACACATCCATTAACTATCAAAAGCTACATTTTGCTAAAAACAATTTTCTTGAAAAATGTTTAATCATACAATATATACAACACATGCTGCTTTCCTTTTTTGGATTTCACTATCCATTTGAGGTCTAAAAGAGAGAGGGAAAAAAGCTGGTTAACAGTTTGTAAATGATAAACTGAAAGTCAGTCTTTACATAAATGATACATTACAACTAACCTCTTAGTGAGTAGGATCCAGATAATCCCCATTTTATATCTTATGCCTACCCTTCTCTTTCTCTCAAAATATTTTTACTTAAGTAAATTGGAACAAAACAAGTTCAATTAATTGAAGTACATATTCAAACTTTACATTAAGTACTAAAAGCACATTTTAATTCCCAAAATTATGGAAAATTTGAGCTAGAATTAAAAACCTTACCAATTATATTGTTAAGAAATTCCATCCTTTAGAGACCAGCAGTTAGCGTAATGGCTATGTCGCTGGACTCCCACGTAGTCGACCGCGGTTCAAGTCCCAGACCTGGTGGCTTATACTCATGCCAGGTGCGTGTGCATGCGTGCCCAAGATCCCGAGAGGAGAATGGAGGAGCAGGGACTGCGGCATGGCCATCCCCCCTGGGGGGTGATTTCTCGCTCTCTATCTCTCTGTCTCTCTCTGTCTGGCAAGCACACATGCCCTATAGCAAAAACCTCTCTGAAAAAAGAAAAAAAATTCCATCCTTTAGAGAAATGTATAGATGAAGCTGAATAAAATTAAGTGAATTGCTTAGGGTTTTATAGTAAAGGCAGAGCCAATAGGATCAAGGACTTCCAATTCCCACCCACAGCTGTACCAGATCACCACTAAGATTTCTCCCTAGAAATGTTTCCCTTAATGAAAATGAAGAATTACTTATAGCATAATTAAAATTTCATATCTGCCTATTTACTGACATAATTTTAAGGCAACTCTATCCTCATCCTCTCTTTTCGCTTTTACCTGTAAATAAAGCAAATCTAATGAAACAGTGAACCACACCAGTTGAGGGATTCAACAATTCATTTTGATAATGTATCACTTTGTTGGGGATAAAAAGTCAAACCAAGAGCAAATTCCTG